AGTGTTTGCCATCAAACACTGTATTGTTTTTTGTGTTAGTGCATGCAAGTCAGAAGGGGAAACTGACAATGGACTTGATCCAAAGCTCACTGAAGCTGAAGAGAGGCTGTCTCTTATTGATTTAATTTGGCTATTGCTCAGGCTAATTATTAGAACTGGTTGAACAGTATAGGAAATGTTTTTCTGAATAAATGCAAAACTTTTGCTTCACTGCTACTTCGGAGTGCATTCATGGCTTTTCTTAATGAGGGGAATTTATGAGAATATTTTACTTTTGTTTAGATTATGAACTTGAACATGAATGATGATTTTCTGCAAAATGTATCTTGTAAATATGTTGTCTGTAGTCCCCACTTGTCATTCTTATGTTTAAACAGGTTCCCATACAGCCAGGGAACAGAAACGATGCTATACTAAGGTGACCAGCTGAATGCAAATGTGAATAGTCTTCATGTAACCCATGAATGGAAATGTTTTCCCCAATTATTCTATGAATTCTTTAGAAACCAGAATATGTAGATTACTAGAGTTTTTAGTAACCAGGTTCACTTCTTTAACTATTTACCAAACAAAAAGGATGAAAACTATGACTAACATTAGTTGCAACCTATAATTTGACTAGATTTACTGCCAATAAGCAAGAAAATGAAATTGTATAGTCAATTATTTTTGTCAAAAAGGAAACTTATTTTTTAAGATTCTTTATTTGAACAATATAAGGTATGTGGACATGTATAACAAATACGTAGAAAATGACACAATCCTTGAATTATGAAATCACAGACCAAAAAATTCCCTTGGGTTTACAAGTTAGCCACAAATTACCTACATCAGTATAATTTTCAACCTTTTTTAAACTAAAGGCACTCTTCAGAAAATGCCAGCTCTTATCTTTCACACATTTCTTGACTATAATAGAAGTATAATAGAGCAATTCTTCTGTTGCAAAGAACTCAGACCACAGCAGGTCAGAATGTTCTTGATACTATGGATTCCTATTTGAATCATTAGGTTTATTTTGTGAATCATGTAGATGTTTGCACACCTAATAATCTCTTGGCACCCTTAAAAGGATTTCCTAGCACCCCAGGGTATCACTGCACCATGGTTGAGGATCACTGGTTTAGATGCTCAATGATATTTTAAAATTTGAAATAACATCAAAGGAAACAAACAAAACCTACCTCCAAAAGTCCTGCTTACTTAGTCCTGAAATAGGAAATAAAGACCCAAGAGTAGGACTCATGTCAGAAATATATTTTTAGAGAAGCTGGTTTTCAAGAGAACATGGTGTGTCTACACATTCAATTAATGCACATTAAGGTTACTGTGCACTGCAGTACCTTAAGGCACATTAACACATGGCCAGGAATGTGTCTACATGTGCTCCCATGGAAGCAATTCAATGAAGGGCTGCTCCAGTCCTGCTCTGCCCCCTGCAGCAGCCAGGGGGAGCTCCAGGCTCCCCCAGGTGCCAGACGCAGGCTGGCAGGGGGCACAGGGGTCAGGCCTGATCTCGGGGGGGGGGGTGTACTGTCCCACTTCTGGGGCAGCTCCCTGCCAGCCCCATGCAAATCGGGGCTCACTGATCGGCACGGGATGGGCAGGACTGCACAGTTAATCTAGTACCTGTATTTCTTGATACTAGGAAACCATGCATTAGTTTAATTTACTATGCAATAAATGCACACATGTAGATGTGCACAGCACTTTACTGTGCAATAAAGTGTCTTGTGTAGACGTACCCACTGTTGCCTTCTGTCATTTCTTATTGTTGTGCTGAATTATCCCTCTCTCAGTCTGATTCTTTGGAATGTGTTGTTATGAAATTAAAAATTGTTGCTGCCAATAATTGATTCTATATATCAAATAAATACTGGCATGGCATGGCATGAGGCTCCCTGGTAATATTACCAGCATTTTATTTTCTTTGGGTAGATACTGCATTAACTACTTAGAACTAAGTCCTCTGATCAAGTCAGAATAGTCAGAACAAGATTATGGATGGAAAGGCAGAGCCTTAAGCTATTTTTACACTCTGGGCCTTAGTTCAAATATTCTCAACCACAGTGTCAGGGTGCCTTGGGATGTCACAAGATCTTTTGAAGGGTGGCGCGAAGTGTGAGGAGATAAGCAGGTGTGAAAGATAAATTCAGATTTAGGCTTGTCCCTTCCTGGCTGCTGCTCTGCCCCCACTGCCTGGCCCCTCTGCAAGGAGGTAAGTGTCACAACCCAGTGATTTTGGTGCCTCGGCACGATGGAATTTTCTTGCCACGAGAGCCTCTTGCACAGCGAAGGTTTTTGCTGCACAGAAGAACCTCGGTGCAAGAGACTTCCCGCCAATTTGCAGGATGAATTTCTTCCTTGCAGCACAGAAATGCACAGTACAAAGAGTTCCCGCTATTCGAATGCAAATTTGTGTCCCGCTATTGGCCAGTTCTAAATTATTCACACGTGGCGGCTAGTAATTGGCCTGCTAGCCGTTTAAGAATTCACACGACTTCCGCCCAAGTCGAAGAACTTTGAGCACACTGCAGAGTGCCTCTAAAGAGATCTGACTTGCGGCTAGCTGATCGATAGACTGATCACCTATCCATCTTTCTTCCCATCGCCGAGCGCAATCCCAGACGTACCCTTTTCCCGCCGGCTTGATTTGCGGATGGATTAACTGGCTTGGGCCTCGCCAGCTGGAACAAC